GAGAATACCCGCTTCAATCTAATGCAAAATTTGAAATCAAAGGAAAAAATTGGATCGTAATCCACTCCTTTGTAACATGATTTGATATTACAATACATGCTCACCTACAAGAAAAGATCTAAAACCAAAAATTTATTCTACAAATCATCATTCATCCAATTGAAGAAAAAAAAAAATTGCATAATCCTAACACTGCCCTTTACTAGTACATGCATAAATCAAAATTATTTAATTCTTGATACACAAAATAATATATGGCTCTAATATCAATTGTTAGAGAAAAATAGGATTTTATTAAATTATGTATTGACAAGAATATGATAATTCTGAAAAATTGATAAACTTGTAAGTTTTAAGAATTATCCTTGTAGCGTTCTAGCAAAAAAATTCATTCATTATTTGATCTTCTTAATTCCATCAGGTCTCCTTCACGTTTGATTTTTTGATTAACTTTCAAATCTTTTGACCTTCTCTGATGTTCTTCCAAGAACTCAAAACTAGAGAAATTATGTGTGTGGGCACAACAAGAAGTTGATTAATTGAACGTTGATGCAAGTGTCATAATATAGATTTGGATAATGATACATCACTTTTCTGACTCTTGCTTTTGCTAGGGTAATACTTATGTAAAATAACTCTTGCTTTTAGTTCTAATTCAAATCAAAGTTTTCCATATATTAGTATCACATATATATATTATCTCGATTGATCAAGAGTTAATTTATTGGATCTTAGTTTAATTGAGTTCGATTAGGTATGTCTTCAAAATAAGAAGGATTCAATCTCGCTTATTTGTTTTTATGTATTACCTGTGTTGATCACGTCGAATATTCAGAACAAGATATGTGATCAAAATACATTTTTTTGCAAATATGTATTAAATTGTCAATCTTATTTTGTGACTGATAATCCCACATGATCATATCACAATATTGATTCAATAGTCAATATCAAATTATTGAGCTCATAGTTAACTGTTTACCAGCAAATTCCAAAAGGTCATGATTGTGCCTATTTAATAGGTTATGAATTCCATATTAAGAATATATATTCCTAGATTATTTTATTTTAATTTCCAAGACGTAGATTTTTTTGATCAACGGTTTGATATCAGCCACTAATAAGTAATACCTCAAAGAACTTGTTAGTAGTCGAAGTCCATTACTCCCTTATGATTAAGTTAACACGTGCAACAATCAAGTGGAATTAAATTCATGTAATCCGGTCAAATGCATTTCAAAATATATACTCAATTTTATTATCAAAGTCAAAGATCATTAAAACGGAGACAATCTTATCAAAATACATTATTAGTCTTTATTTATCGATTGTGGACAATAAAATTTAGATCGAATTATAAATTGAATATTTTATCAAACACTAAATTTATAATATCAAGTCGATCCATGAACTAGAATTCAAGCCCAAATCAATGTTGGAAAAAATTGAGTTAG